AGATCTATTTTGCCTTTCTATTAATGTAAGAACAAACATTAAGAATCATTAATCGGGGATTTTTTTACGCTGTGTATATTACGTGTGCCCGTGTGATTTGAAAACCTTATCTACCTGTCACTCTCCCTGCTTTCTCTCGTCGAGTGGTTGTTCCTTCCCTTTATTTTTCCCTTGCGTTGTATGTGCCTGCCTTATGTTTAAGTTCGTGTATCGTAACCGCCGTCAGACGATTTCATCAATGCCGATTTTATTTTATTACTGCAGTGCCAAATCGATCGAGTCCTCTGTCTTGCGACTACGTGCTCGTGATCACGGCAACGTATTCTCATCCACTTTCACATAACATTTGTTCATTCACGCAGAAGATTTCCGCGACCGGTTCGTTCGGTGGTGCAGCCTGTAACGCCAACTGCATACTGGACTCTATATTATGTCGCTTCATTGTACCCTTAGTCTTCTTCAGCATCGTAGCCTAGGGAGGGAACGCACAAAGGAGTAGTCGATAAAAAATGTCACTGACAAAATAGAAAGTAGAAAGTAGAAATAGAAATTACGATCAACTCAAGATCAACGAATCATACACAGAAAAAGAAGGGAAAGAAGAAGAAGTAGAGAAGAGGAAGACGTTACTCCCGTAAAAGCTAAACACTACTATCCGGTAATAGAATGCGTCTAATCCACACATTACGACAAGCTCGAGCTAGCTGCGTTGGATCGAGGCGTCGACAAGGTATAAGTACGGAAGTCGATCGGTTTTACATGCACCAACGAGGAGGGATCAGATTTTTCTCTTTTTATCTCGTTTTCTATTTTTTTCTTTCTCTTTTTATGGATGTATCGCTCAGATACGGTACACGTTCATCACACCGAGGCTCCTGCTTTGCACGCGCGCGCGTGTGACGCCGCTCGAGCGCGCATCGAGGAACCTAGGCTGAGATCTCGTGCGCGCGCGCATCTTCAACGAGAGAGAGAGACTAAACACGATCGAGCGAGCGGTTGTAAGCTGTGGTATGGTTGGATTACTCGTCCGTGCTCTTGTCCCCCTCCCCATTAGCAGGTAGAATCGATAGTTCGATATTGCGACGCTTGATCTTACTTTTCTTCAACATGGTAGCCTGAAGTGAACAAAGGAATAAGGAAAATATTAGTCCAAATGCAATCAGGGGAAAGGAAAGCGTGCGCTGATGGGTATCAGCAATCAGGTTACGCTTTCTTACGGAGAATACGTAGAGCATTGATGTAATGTGAAACAAAAAAAGTACTACAAACTAATACATACGGATGCTCCTGTCAAAAGGTTACATGCTACAAAAAACGTTATGCCCCATCATTCTACGTAAACCCGAACAGTGAGAGAAAGGGTGCTATCACTTCTCCTTGATGTGTATATATATATACTCCACACAATATAGGGATTATCAAAACATATACTGATATTGATATATCGCAAACTATTTATGTTACATTCTGTCCGTTATTTTTGTGGAATTATGGGGTTTTTGGTGAGATTCTACGACGGGTTATTACCTTGAGTGCGGACTTCAAGACCACGATATCTCCTGGACTCTGCACCCACGGTTCACCGTCCACTTGTACAGGTATATCCGAGTTTAGATGGATTTTTTTGTGTCCGCCCTGTCGAACGAAATTCGCCAAGAGTAAAAAAATGTACTCATATATGGTTGCGTCGGATATTGTTTTCGGTGGGTGTTCGGGCTTAGTGAAATTCTTACTTGTGCTATCCTCATAGTCGTGCGTAAACCTGACTGTATCTGTCTAAGATGCATAACGCCCGTGACTCGGACAACATCTAGCATACCATTCTAGTGATTTGGCGTATAAAATTGATCTTCTTTAGTATCTGGTCCCCAGGGATTAGCACCAGAACCCCAACTAAGTTGTAACAAGAAAACGAAAAAAAACCTCGTTGAAAAAAACACATAAAATATACTTCTTCTATGACGCACAAGTATATTCTAATAATTATCTTAAAATTATCAGAATAATTATTCCTTCTAACTGTGGTAATTCAATCAATTTGTCGTTTACTTCTAACCAAATTTCTTTGTGTAAATCCTTGCACGGCTTGCGCTTGACCATTTTACGCAAACCCATCGTCACGTACCTTTATTCCGTAATCTGCTATTGAATTTGTTAGGGTTTTCTTCTTATTAAAGTCCAAACATAAATCTGCATCGACGCCAATGACAAAATAATTATTCATTACATAATTTGCGTGTTATCTTCGCTACTTGACCTTGCATCTGTAACATATAAATGGCATATAATTTTTTCAAGATTTCTGGTACCACTGCTGCGGGACCCTAGATTAATGATGTCAAAAGGGGAAAAACACCAAAAATTCTTATTATTTTCAATATACAAAGACATCTGTATGAAAGAACACTTCAGATTGCATATTTGTTAAATGCTGGGAAAACTATCCTTTTTTTGACAGTCAATAAATAGTTTTAAAATAAACGTAATACGCAAGAATTTTTAGAATGTATTTTCTCGCTTTAGATCATCGTCAATCCAGGGTTTCGCAAAAGTAAAACTAGATGTCTTAATAAAATTTGTTCATCTAAAAACACGACCATATCTATCGACAGACAATGTTTATAGTCCGATCGTGTACTTAAGGCTTCTTGTATCTCGCCGTCCATGTCAGATTTGTGACGTCAGAAACGAGGAATGACATGCTGACGAAAATTGTACCATTTCTGAATAAAGAAAAATATGGATGAAAGAGGATTTGGGATTGCTTGAGCATACTTGTAAAATTGTTCAAAAGGTATTTCTTTTCTTTGATGTCCTGTTCCTTGATGAGTCATATAATAAATGATGAAATGGAACACGTGAAATGATGAAATGACTGTATGTTGTTTGCATGCTTCATTTTCCTATTTATTATACGACTATTTACTGATCGTCAGGGGAAAGAGATAGTTTTCAGAAAATTATAAATGTGTATTCACGCGATCTCAAGTACTTTTTCGCACATTTATCTTTATTTAGAAATGACACGCGTAATTTTTGTCAGCGTGTCATTTCTCGTTTCGTATTACAAATCCAATATGGCCGCGGCGAAATACGAAGAGTCTTAAAATTGTTTTAATTCCATTCTCAGATGTTGTAAGAGCCATTTTATTAGCTACATAGCATCTGAAGATGAATTTAAATGTAAAACTGAACTATGAATATTATCCTACATCTTGATAATAAAATTATGTTAGAATCATATCGCTCACCAGTTGCATTAGCGACTGCTTGAGGGTTGCTGCCTACATCTTGTTCTTGCGGGTAAAGAACCACAGTCCATCTATCCAATATTATTTCTTCCGCGTCGATAACGTCTCGTAGTAAATTCAGCGGGTCCTCGTCTCCTGTGTAACCGGAACCCCAACATAACACACGAGCGAGATTGTTTCCTGTTCCCAGAGGCACGATAGCGCATTCGGGAGAAGAACACTCGCTATCTTGACCCACATTATTTAAACATTGTAACACCCAAACTATTGTTCCATCCCCGCTGCAGACCAGTATCTTGTAATTCTTTATGTGGTGAAAAACGTAAAGTTTGTAAGACATAGGAACGTATATTTTTCCCTCTAATTTGTATATTTTTCCTTCTAATTTGTTTTCGCACAATTTATATCGTGTCTTGAAATATATACAATTCGTTATTATGTTTAAAATATTTTAAGGTAAAACCTTACCCATTGAAAAGTCCACCGTTGACAAAATATTTTGATCACCCAACGGGAAATATTAACAATATACACACCTCGCGTCGCGGCATATGCGTCACTCGTCGGTCCGAGACGTAATGACTCACAAAGTACGCGACACGCGACCATATCAAGAGAAGGGCAAAGTCACTTCTTGTTGATCCCAACTGTCGTCGCCTATCTCTTTCGATTAAGTAGATAAAAAATCAAAACATTCAACGCTCACAAAATATTTCAAAACTTCAAGATGTTCTCAAAATGAAATTATCAAATTTTATTATCAAAACGCTTTGCCCGCAATAACTCATTTGTTTAACTTTGATACATCGACTAAGGAGCCGCTTACAAAACTTTGATGAAACAAGATATTTGTTTAAAGTAGAAGAAGAAGTAGAAGGGTAAGAAGTTTTTATTTATTGTAATCCCAGCAAGCACATAGAATGTTACATGAAACATACATGTTAGTTGTAATTTCTTACTCAACAAACAATATAACTGTTATATAATATATGTGTTATATAACATTTACATTGTTGAATAGAAAATTACAACTAACATGTACGTTACATGTAACATTGTGTTTGCTGGGAATATAATTTGTAAAAACAAGTATTGTAATATAAGTTATAAATAGTACAACGAAAAGGCTAAAGTAACGCGCGCGAAGCGCGCGCTATGTTGTATTCTAGTATTGTAAATAAAGGATGAAAGTATTAAGTGAACTATTGACTTAACGCTAAGATCAATCTTAACATCAAAAAAGTAATAAGAAATGACAGATTTAATATTACTAATTTTTGGACAGACGCACATACCGCGAGTTCGCCTAGGCGGGCGAGTAGTGTGTGTGTTTATACCCAATAACGGTGTGTGTGAAGCTGGTGTGTCACTTTGTGAAAACTGAGAAACTATTAAGAGTTCTGGCTTCCTTCTTGATAGTTCCAGAGTTCCTAATATATTAAACAAATAGTTCTGCACATTAAAGCAGAAAAATCAGTTCGGACAAACTGAGACGCCAGATTTACGTTGCGTCTCACTTTGTGCTGCACATGTTTCCTTGATATTTAATGCAAGATTTTAAAAGATTTAAAGTTTTACAAGAGTTCTAAAAAGAGTCCTAGCAACAAGCATAAGTTTTTCAATATTTAAATAATTTTTATATCGGAGAAAATATTTTTACAGAACCATACGTGAGATGCTGGTAGAAATTTTAGAGTTTTGGTTTATCTGAAATATTTTTCTCATAGTTCTGAGTATACTTAAAAGTTTTCCAAAGATTTCTAGGCACTGGCAATGTTGTACGATTTTTAAATAAATAAATGCTGTTCGCGGACTGCGTAATTCGATAGAATTACGAGAACTCTGAGATTTCGACCAATGTCTCATATCATTCTATCGGAATACGCCGTCCGCGGGCAGCATTTATTTATTTAAAAATCGTACAACATTGCCAGTGCCTAGAACTCTTTGGAAAACTTTTAAGTATGCTCAGAACTATGAGAAAAATATTTCAGATAAACCAGAACTCTGAAATTTCTACCAGCATCTCACGTATGGTGCTGTAAAAATATTTTCTTCGGTATAAAAATTATTTAAATATTGGAAAACTTATGTTTATTGCTAGAACTCTTTCTAGAACTCTTGTAGAATTTTAAATCTTTTAAAATCTTGCATTAAATATCAAGGAAACATGTGCAGGACAAAGTGAGACGTAGCTTGAACCTGGCGTCTCAGTTTGTCCGGACTGATTTTTTCTGCTTTAATATGCAGAATTATTTGTTTAATATATTAGGAACTCTGGAACTATCAAAAAGGAAACCAGAACTCTTAATAGTTTGTGAGTTTCCATATAGTGAGACGCCAGCTTCACACACACCATAAGACACACTAGGCGAAACCTGTGTGTCGCATGCACGCCAAGCAGTAGAAGGTCCAACAAGTTACCATGGACCTCATAGGGCCGCTACCGAGATCGATAAACGGTAATACATGGATTTTGACAATGCAAGATTTTTTTTCAAAGTGGCTTGAAATGCGTCCGCTTCGAAAAGCCACTGCGAGCGCGGTCACTCAGGTCCTCACCGAACATATTATATGTAGACATGGGTGCCCTCAAACGATAATTTCGGATAATGGGACTCAACTGACATCCCGACAACTTACAAGCACCCTGGAATCTTTCGGGATTCACCACTGAACCACACCAGTACGCGTCCTACACTGCAAGCCGGTTGAAAGAACCAATAGTAAAGACAATAATATCTCAATACGTCGGAAGGAACCAGCGAAAATGGGACGCACATTTAACGGAACTACAATTTGCGTACACGGCTATACAAGAGTATTCATCGGGGGAGTATACAACGGGGTATTCATCCACGTATTTGATATATGGTCGCGAAATAAATACGCATCCGGAAAACACAGGAAAGCAGCGGAAACGACAAACCGGATTCGACATCTGAAGGAAGCATACGAGGTTGTCAAAATTAACATGACAAGAGCATTCCAGCGCCAGGAGAAATATTATAATCTCCGGCGGCGCGAGTAAAAACCGAAAATTGGCGAGAAAGTATGGAAAAAGGAATATCCTTTATCCAACAAAGCTAAAGCATTCAATGCAAAGCCAAAATACATAGGACCGCTGGAAGTAAAGAACGTAATATCTCCAATAATTGTACACCTGGAAAATAAACATGGCAAATGGTATAGGAATATACACGTATAGGATTTAAAGCCGACAAACAATAATAACAACGGAGAAAAGTACGAGGAAACCTAGCAGGGAAATGAAGTATAAAAGACGAGCACTGAGAGATCGGGAACACTCTTTTTTCTACTGTCCCGAACAGAGAGGAATTTTGATAATGGCAAAGACAAAAAGCAATTGGTACGAAGTGCCAGGAGCCGAGGTCCTCTGGTCGGAACTCGCGCTTTCCTCAGATGACGAAGAAACAGTGGCAGCAACACCGCCACCGACACCGTCGGCTTCGATCCAACCGCCGACACTGCCAGCTATACCACCGTTGCCGAGAACCAGGATGCCGAATAGGCTAGTTCTGTTACAGGGAACACACATCCAACGTTCCGACGCCGAGCAGCGTCGGAAAGCGATAATGCTTACGGCAAAGAAATTTGATAAGATACGGCTCCGCTGCCCCCACCATCTAGGCGCCGAGGACGTGTCATTGGCACATTGAGGGTTGGCCAAGAATCATCGACCAGGAGATCGCCAGCTACATCACCAGCGACGTCACCAGCGATACCGTCACCACCAGCAACGCCGGGCGCACCACACAACCAACCGACCGCAGGACATCGATTGCACATCGACCGGAACCGCTTCGTGCAATCGGCCCGTCCTTACCACCGCCAGTCCGTGTGGAGGTACAACCGGGTCTAATAGCCGAAATACCGCATTTCGCTGTTCACGTGTCCAGACGCTACCGACTGCGACTTCCACAAGGCCGATGGATGCTGCGATTCATCAACAACGGACAGTTAAGATCGAGTCAACGGCTACCGGATCAGCCCTCCCTGACCGGGGGGGTGATGTAATGATGCCTTACACGCATCGTTATTAACAATCCGACAAAACACCCGTCGGGCTGCAAACGGCGCTACGCGCCACACAAAGGCCGCTAGGTCAAAATCAAATATAAACAATTACCGCGCCTATCACGCGTCTAAACAATAACACAGCGTGCGCGATGTCAACAACGATTGGCAGATGGAAAAGATTAATTATATAAACCGTGGCCGAGAAATAAGCGGGACCAGACAGGAGATTGTGTGTTCGTTATCTCCGTCGAGTGCTCTTGACACTGACTTCGCCTTCCTATCTGATTCCAACGACGAGCCAATGAGTTCGTGTGTTTGCAAATCCTGCGCAGCATTTTTGGTACCGATCGTATCCTTTCTCGACTTGCAAGTACACTTGCTAGTATGTTCGCTGCGCTCGATCGAACGTTGTCGATACTTGCACATATTGCGTCAGCTATAAGCGAGTCGCTCGATATACAGTGATGGGAGAAAGTTCCGTAACAGTCAAATATCTTGGAAAATAATGATTATGGAAGAAAATGTTCAATACAAAAGTTTTAGTATATCAAGTGGTCTATTATATGGTTATATTGAAATGACCTTCATGTGACCTTGAAGGACACCGTGAAGGTCAACTTTGAAATCTTAAATGGAAACTCCTATTTTCTATTACATATTCTTAAAGCTAGTGTCAAGACGTTTCCGAAATACTGGTTACAAATGCTTTTTGCTTAAAATCTTCCTGAGTTATAAACCTTCAAGTTTCAAGTATTGCCGGCGCGTTATCTAAGGTGTACCGCATGGAGGTGGCACGGTCGGATATCCACCTCTTCGAGATGCTTGATCAAAGTGAGTCCTGTGTGTGCGCGCGCGCGCGCGCGTGTATGTGTGTGTTTGTATGTGAATACAGTCAGAGATAAGGACCCCGATGTTCGTCAGTCCCCCGGTATTTTACGACTCCAAACCCTCTCTGCTGTGTATGTGTGTGTGTGTGTGCGTACGTGTTAGACGTAATTAAAAAATTAATGAATTAAATGTTCAAATTGTTGTCTGTTTACTGCTTGACAGTGTGCCGACCGGATGTAGATACTTTGCAGTACATTTTCTAACATTTCCTGTCCAATTGTATTTGAAACATTCTTGCTCGTAATTCATTAATGGTTGCCGGTTTTGTTTCGTATACTTTGCTCTTCAAAAAAAAATATCCCCAATAAAAATAGTTGAGTGGGGTTAGATCTGGTGATCTAGGTGGCCACTCCATTTGACCTCTTCTAATAAACCATTTATTGGGAAATGTTTTATTGAGAAAGTTACGAGTCATTATGGCAAAATGAGCTGGGCTCCATCCTGCTGGAACGAAACATTTTCAAAAGCATTTCCTGTAATGTTTTGAATACATGGCACGACTTCGGTTCTTTGTAAGTGCACGTAATTGTGTGCATTTATATTCCCTTCGATAAAAAACGGATCTACAATACGATGACCTATTATTCCAGCCCAAACATTTAGTTTTTGGAGATATTGAGTGTGACAATCTCTCATCCAATGGGGATTATTGTCAGTCCAATATTTTAAATTTTGACGATTGACAG